TAATAACAATTGCAACCACTGACATGTGAATGCCCATATGGTATTCGGAAACATTGTAAAGCTGCAAATTAACGTCGCGCTTCCGAACCGACAAGTGTTTTGTTTGCCTATAATCACATTATCCTAGCCTAAAATGTGAACTACGCTTAAGGGGTAAATTAATTTACAGAAAGCAAATATATATCAACAGCGATCTCTTGTTCCTCAAAAGTGTTTGTGGTATTCTAGGGTTCACGCGTAAACTTCAAGGTAAGTATTTAGCTTTAGTGCATTCACTTCTTGGAAACTTAAAACTGACGTGGACTTCCAATACCCTAAAACAATAGAGATTTTACGCTGAAAGGACACTTTTCAAAGCCAGCTATTTACATTGTTAGCCTGAACACTCATTATTTATGGTATTCATCTCAAAACACAAAAGGTTCAGTTCTTTTCTATATTTTTGCACATCAGACCAGGCAGGATCTCTTACTTTCTTTCAAACTTGCAAAAGAAGGTGCGGCGAGCAAATCCATTTTAATGCTCCACGTTGGAAGTTTTTGTAAAAATTAAATTTGAATGTAATCACACCAGATGTTGAAAACATGAGAATTAAAAAGAAAAATTATCAATCCTGGGAAAACGTTTTAAATCGTAGCAGTTCACTTGAATTGTCTCAGGTAGCTGTAGCTTTTGTGATTTTTTTGTGATTACGCTTCTTTCTTATTTTGTAATGATTAAAGAATCTTTCGTTGTCTTCAGTTCCATTAATCATTGTTAAGATGATTTGGGATCAATGTTATTTCCCTTCTGAGTATTTTGTGAGAGAGTTTCTTTTTTTTTTACTACAGAATTTGTATTTTGGCGTAATGATACACACCTAAAAGTTCGATCAAGAAAGTTAATTAAAGAAAGTTAGTTCAATATCACCATTGTGGTTAAGTTATTTTTCGAAAAACTTGAGCTGGCAAGAAATTTTGAATCCGCTTCCAATTGTAGAATTTTCATCGTTACAGTGAGTCCACCTGCTTAGACTTCAAAAGCAAACTGTGTTGCTGAGCCAAGAGAAAAAAAGAGTCAAGTTTGAGCTTTTTGAAAAAAAATTGAAAACGGAAATTGAATTGATTGAAATGTGGGAGGGGTGAAACACATTTTGTTCTCTACCTTCCGGCGCTAGGATTTAATGAAACTGAAGCAAAATAATCATTGTTTCTTGCGATTACTAACCATTTTTGCTACAACGGTGAAACGCCCACATTGAAAAAACTCTTTTCAGGTGTATTTCAAAGAAACGTTAACACTTACCGAGTCACTGTATTTTCACTGTGGCAGATGGTATCCAAGTCCCAGCTCACTATTGTGCTCTTGATATGCGCAGTAATTCTACTTTTAACCCAGCCAGTTGTGAGTCAAAAAGATGCGCTGCGATGGGGTAAAAGGGACAGCGGTCTTCCTGACAAGTTTGCGTCAGAGAACTTCAGAAATTGGCGCATGCAACGGTACAACAAGAAACGGGAATACCTCGGTAACTTATTCCTTTTTTTTTCTTTTATCAAAAACTTCTGGATTTTGATGGTAGTTTCATTACACTTTCATTATCATCCTTTAATTGATGGCCTTAGTTATTTTATTAAACATGAGTATTTTGGTCCTACTTGCTCTAACCGAAGGACTGTATGGAACCTTTCTACAATTATTTCAGATGTGAAGAATGTTATTGTTTTTGAGGAAAATTTCAAATTAGCAACAGACATGACTGAGATAATTTATCTACGAGCACAGTTTGTTCATTTTTCTATTTATTTATTTATTTATTTATTTATCAATTCATTCATGTAATCATTTTTGGGATCTTAGAATTTTTGGGCACCAAAGATGGTGTATTATCCGTTAGCCAGCATTGATCAAACAAAATTTCACACGAAGTGGTTTAACACTACAAGATCGAAGTTAAAAAATATTGCAGAGAATGGATATTAGATAAAAGGAATTTCATACACACACATCATGGTTTCGTGCTATTTTTTGAGTTCTCGCCTCGCTCGTTCATAAAACATTATTTTGTTACTAAAAAAATTATGTTTGGCGTCGCAATGTAGAATCTTATAAAAATATTTATCTCTTGGTGAGGGAGAAGGCTTAATATTTGCACCATTTATTGCAGTAATCTGAGCGACATGAGATTTATTGAATCTTAAAATCAATCATTTTGATGGAATTCTTTCGTTAATTTCCTGCAGATGAAGAGGGGAACAGAGATATAGAAGGATATGGCTACGATTAAAACCGATTAAACATGCAGTTTACAAAGTCCACGTTCCAAGCTTGGAATTCATAAAAATGTTGCTACGTCCTCTAGTATATCAAATTCAGTTGACGTTCATGTTATTAAACTTGTTTCAACTTGAAATTCTCTTTACAGAGTGGCTTTATGATTTTCTGAGTGACTCTATCTTTGTATGCGTTAGAAATAACTCCCCTGCCGATCTTTTATATTTCAAATTTCCATTCTGGTTTGAAGCAGCACTTCTTCGTGCAAAAGGACTTGAATTTTAATGCATAAATGCGACGCCCGATAATCGTTAACCTGAAAACAATTTACACCATTAAAATAAGACAGTGGGTTGTAATGAAGTATTGTCTCATAATGCTTCCCTAAAAGTGTTTTCACCTCAACGAGAAACCACAATTTTTTAACGACCTTAAATCTATGAGCGATCATATTGTGCTGTTTTACATGTTTCCCACCTATTTCCTCTTGCTGCTGATTTTTATAAAACCAAACTTGATCCTTCGCCTAACTTCTGGACTTAAGCACCATTCATGTAAATACATACAGACGTACTTAAATCAAAAAATATTCTACAGGCAGTAGGAAAGACTCACTGAAACATAAATTTATTGGTGCTAAGGCTTATACAGGAAATGCGATTTTGACATTGTAAAGTCGAGATTTTTATTCAGGGCACTTAAAAGTATTTCTAGCACAGATTTCATGAGTGATCTTCTCAGGACTTTATTTACTAACAACTTGAACGGATGCATATATGACCTACTTGAGCTAAAGCCAACTTACGTCTTAATCGATCAAAGGTGCAATGATAACATTATTTTGGATGGTCAGAGGTAAAGCCCTTTGCTTTAACTCACCATTTATCGGCTATCTTGGGCCTGTGTAACAGAAGAAGACATACGCCTTGCTAGTCAGGCGGTGTTGCAATTCGATGATTTCCGTAATTTTCTATATTTATCTCATCGCTGTCTAGAAAGTGACGACGATCAATTTTTAGGATTTATGAGACTTCATGTGACGTCTGGATCGTAGACGGCAAGACAGAAGAAGACTTTTGGTTACTTTTACCGATTTGCCATGTGATCCACTTTTGCAGTTTTAAAAAAGTTTATTCAAGGCATATTCCTATACTAAGGTAGCATATTTATCGCTGTCAAGAAAGTGACGACGACGATCAATTTTTAGGACTTAGGAGACTTCATGTGATGTCTGGATCGTAGACCGTACGGCAAGAAAGAAGATGAAGACTTTCGTTTACTTTCACCGATTTGCCATGCGGCTCACTTTTGCAGTTTTAAAAAGGTTATTCAAGGCATATTCTTATACTAGGGCATCGAGGAAGATACCTCTCATCTTATTGCTATGGCCAATAGTAGTCTAAAATGGGTCAAACTGAGTGACGAATATGCTAGACTTTAACCGGCAGCGGTTGCGAGTTACATGTGAACAATGTGTCGAATTTATTAAGTAAATTTGAACGTATTTCTAATCAGAAAATCGTCAGCTTCAAACAAGAAATCGAGTGAGATAGATCCGCAATAAACATTCACTCAACGAATACATAGACCTGTGTGCTTACCTAAGGAACTTCGTTATTGCTTGTGCACCCTTGGGACGATTTGAGGTTTTGGCGATAAACTCACACCACTCAGAGCTAAGTGGCGGAAACCATGAATGATGGGTATAATTAAATAAAAGATTCAAAAGAAAAGACCTTACGATTCTGTAAATGTAGTTCCGCAACTGCCTTTTCACTTTGTTAAATCATGTTACGTGATTGGATGAATAATAATTTTAAGAAAATAGACATTTTTTGCGCCCTAAACTTTAGCCCGTTTGAAATCCGTTTCTTTTTCCTTCAGAAATTAGTTCCTTTGTTGTTGATTTGTTTGTTTAATTTCTCTTTTCAAGAACTCATCTTCAAGTAGATCTTGAAAAGTGCTGCTTATCAGTTTTTGGTAGCCTCTTCATATCTTTTGAAGCCTCGATGAACTGACTGATAAAGACAATTTGGAAGATACCATACGAAAACGTAGGGCAGAAAATTTTAATGACGGAAATAGTATTTACCGTTGCATTAACGAAAACAAACGCACGAGGAAAGCCGGCTTCCGCGCCATTTAGAAGTTCATCTATGTCAATGAAAGAAGGCTAATGATGTTTATCCTCCACACAATGTGTAAAATTGCCAATGATAACCTTAAGCAATTCACATATAAAAAATTATGTTAATTAAACTTTCGTGAGCTAAAATACGGATAGGAGAAACGGAAGATTTGATCTGATCGAAACTAGTTGCTAATAATAATTGCTTTCCCATCCCAGACACGGTTTTCACGCAAGCTTCTTAGCAAGTGTTTATTAAGTCTATTTTTCACGTCTGCCGTGCGCAAAGGCTTTTAATTAAACATCAAGGTTGTCAGCAGGTGCAGATTTTTCTTTATGTTTTCTTTTTCTTAACATAAGACAGAAGCATCCTGATTTATTTGCAGAAAAGCGAAAGCAAATGGGCAAATGTTTTATCGAAATTGAGTGTGATGTGTGTCAAAACTGACAAGCAAAGTTATGTTCAGTTTTTTATCTCAAAGAAAGAATGATACTCGCTGTTCATCTCAGTGATCACATCAACAGAGCGACTGAAATCGGCAAGCAAAGGATCTTGGAAATACGCCGGTCAGGCACAACTTATTAAGCGAAATTACCGCGCTCATTAACAGGACATAGTGCCGTTAATTACCACGCGAAACGCAATTTAAGGCTTTCAGATAAAAAGAGTCATCGAAACAGACAAGAACTTGACAAGTGTTTTCGAAACAGGAAACATTTTTGCTGAAAAAACTGAACGAGCAGACAGATCCAAATTGAACAGTCCGTCAGGTACGATCAATGTTTCCATCCAGTATCTACAATGTTAGGATAGCAAAACATACTTCTATATTCCCACCAATGAGAAAGCCCGTTTTGTTTTATCGTTCCTAGTTTCTAAAAGCTTTTCCTTCAAACTCGGCATCGATCAGACCCTTTAAGTTAAATTGTCAACTCGAACATTGCAAACTTCGCTGGTCTCGACATAGGCTACAAAGCTTCGAGTACGCAAACCTGCCGTAAGCTAATTCTTTTGCTTTTGCCAGTAATATTTGAGGTGTACGATAGTAATTTTGGCGGAGAGTCATCGAATGTTCACTTTAACTTAACGAAAACGGGAAACAGAAAAAGATTGCATGTGAGACCTTTCACTTCTCAAAATCTGTAATTTACTGTCAGAACGATAGATTTAATAACCAGAGCTCAGTAAGAGTTTGTTTTTACGATGTGCTCTTTACATACACTATATCTGAATATATATTTTTTAATTATTGTATCCAAAACTTGAAGCAATCGCCTCTATTCCAGCGTTTTTCACAGGTTCAAGATCGTCTAATTGAAACTCTTTGAGCTAATTTCAATAGTGACTCGGAAGGTATTCTTTTTCACAAATTCCGGCACCTTTAAAAGTATTATCTTTTGCTTTCTTTCTTTTTGAAACATAGATGCGTCACGGTCACAAAATAAATACAGTAGAATTCAAGTGTTTCGGGTATTGCTTAACAACATCATTATTTCAAAAACTTCTTTTCATTGACATTTTTTTTAATTTTTGTGTCACATAGCAAGTGTTCCCAAGCAAATGTACTCTAAAGTAACTTCCCTTTTTTCCTTTTTTTGTTCACAAGCTTTCAGCAGCTTTATTTCTAATTCAGAATGAGGTATGGGCTAGTACCTGGGGGCGACTATCGAGTAAAGGGAAAAATATTTCTAAACGAATACACGGAAAAAACGTGCTTCAACTATTTCCTTGTAAACTTTATTTCTGTAATGTGAACTTTTTTCTGTAGAAACTATGGTGTCTTCTAAAGCATTTTTCGTTTCATTCCTGGTTTCTTGCGTTCTTCTCTCGGTTTACTGTCAAAAAGCTGAGGAACAGGGGCTTCCCGGCATTCGCTGGGGGAGACATTTTCAAGAGGATGACCTCACTCAAAGAGGTGGAGAAGGAAAGCTTTGGAGAGTAATGGAGCAAAAAAGAAACCATCATTATCGATTTAACGGTAAGACATGCAAAGATGTAAAAAAAAAACAACATCAGCAGCAATTTTAGTCTTTACCCTTGAATTTGATCAATTTGTATTTGTTTAACCGAGTAAAACCTGATAATTTCACTTTTATTGTACAGTTTTCATATCAAAAATAAAAAATTTTTCATATAAAAATAGAAAATTAAGTTAATATTGTCAATAAAGGTTCCCGTTTAAATTTTTTTATATTGCATAGAGATAGGTTAGTGATGTTCCTGAGGCTACAAAAATGAGTGGAATGTCAATGCTGCCCTAAGAATTTTTAACTGGAGGGCCTCAGTGTGGTTAGCTGTCGACCCTTATGAGAGTAACGGAAGCTCTCACATCTAATTACCTTTTATATCTGGAGAACATATGACTCACCTCGCGAATGAGGGCTAATTTGTTTTTTATAGCCGCCATTTTGAAAAAAAAATACGCGTCCGAGGTCTGGTACGAGAAGAGGGCGGGGTTAGGAAAAAAGGAGCCGGCGAAAATGGTTCTTATTCATAAAAAAAATGATAATAATAAAATGAAATTGTGATAATAGGAAGAGGAATCCCTTTTCTAGAATCAAATGTCTTAAGATATGCTAAAATACGTCTTTTCATTTCAACAGATGGAGTCCAAAAGCAAGAATCGTAGGAACAGTAAAAAAATCCTCAATTAAAAACCTTCGTGAACAAAAGGGATCCCTGTCTGTTAAATACATGATACTTCATCAACTGAGAGTTCATGACTTTTAAAGAAATACTAGAATCAGTTCTGTGTTTGGAGAGCACATCAAGTCGTGTGATAAATGAGTTCTCCGTACATGCCACGTCAGTGATTAACTTCTAATGTAAATGTAGGCTTATCTTTGCTATTATCCCCAGCCTATGATATTCGGATATTGTCATAAGTCACTAAATAAATTGCTGCCTTTGATCCCGAAAAGTCTATTTCATTGTTCCATCCGAATATTCAATTCAATAAGTTTCCTAACGTAACATACGTCAATTTATATTCTTAAGATTGTATGTAAGCATGACTATAATATTCTGATTAATTTCTCTGAAAGCAAGCACATTTAAAAGGAGATAGAAGGGGTTATACGAAATAAATGTGGCAGGTTTCTAAAGAAACTGCGGTAGGTGAGTATAAAAGGGTAATTTAACACTATCAACAACTGAGTTGATAACGTAAAGTGACCTCCGTATAAAGTTTCAAAGCTGACGTTTCGAGCGTGAGCCCTTCGTCATTCGCTCGTTGGTTATACGAAATAATCAATTTGAATAAAAAATTATCCTCTTCCGACACATGTCTCATAGAAGAAACTTTCAGTTGGAAACATTGTGCCTGAGATCAGTCGTTTTGGTTGCTGTTTTTAAGCTTGAAATTCGTAGCTGAAGTTTAGCCCATGATACTTTTATGCTTTGTTGCAAATTACATTTTGAACAGTCTATAGTTTTCTCGGTCTTTCCATAACATTTTTCATTTTTTCAATTTAAAAAAAAAATTGTCAGGCTTAAACAACGTTTAGCGTGACGGTCAGAACGGAAATTCTCAGGAAATCAATTTGCGAAATCTTATTATGAAGTCAAATAAGAGTTTAAACTTTTTTTTAACGGTTTGAGCTCTTCTTTATTCATTGTTACTTTATTGTTACCCTGTTTCATTATTTCTACTCACACAATGTGGCTAAGATTCCTCTATAACTGCGGCATGACCAAGCTAATTCTATATGATAAAAACCCTATTAGCGCAAACTTTTTTTTAGGATAATCCATAAGGCATTCGGGGTCATAAAGGTTACCGAGGGTAAATTTGTTAAATGGTTCTCCACATGAAACATTTTTATCAAGTGGTTGTTGTTGAGGACGAAGCTCGAATCAATTATCACGCTGAGGATTGACTGCAAATAATCTAACTAGCCTGTTTGAATATAAATTTGCTTGTCATTCAAAACATAACAAAAAGAGAGGTTCACAACCGTACATTATTTAAAAGGGTGCAATCTGTGTGGCCATGGATTAAGTAACGATACTTGGGTCTTTGTGTTGTCGCCATTTTTTGCGATTGCGCATGATCAAGAAGATGGTCACGCTCACAACTGCTATAGAGACAATACCACTGACGACCGCAATGGTTGCCACAGTTGTTGTGAAAGACTTCTCCCCATCCAGGTGATCCCCATCAAGGTGATCAGATCCTGCTGAACGAAGAAAACGAAAGCTAGTTATCTGTTGCTCTGTCCAAAATACATTTTATTTCAAAGGTTTTAGTATCCGTGCTCACTTTTAAGAAAAATATAAATCAAATTTCTGCCTTCCTTGATCTCTTTTGGAATGATGTGAACATTCTACAAGTCTTTTACTCCTTTTGGTATTTAAGGCCACCAGCTGATGCAGTTTCCTGTCTCGTTTCCCACATACAGGAAATCTGAGGGTCTTAATGGGGATAAAAACTTTGCCGTTAGGCGTAAAAATTGACCAGTTTGAACCGTTAGTCGTAGAAAAGTTTATTCGCAAATTTTCTTTTGAACCATAACTAAAGGAAATTAACTGTTAGCCGCAAAATGGCCAAACTTTTAATCAACAGGCGCAAAAGCCATTACCCCACTGAGACCCTCAAATCGTAGCTTGATCAACGAGCTGAAATTTCAGCGTGGTCACCAATCAACTGAAAAGCATTATCTTTCAAGTTTCTCCCAATCACCAGACTAAAATTTTAGTGAGGAAACATATCCACATCTGATTCATGTTACCAAGATCTCGGTCTGAATCCCCATCCTATTAGTTTTTACCCATTCTCGGAAACAGGAGTTGCTATAGAATAATGTTCAATTAAGTTTCGAAAATAATAAAGGACTGCTTTGGTTTTGCTTACTTCCTTATTTTATCGGTCCAGAAAACTCACGCCCATTCTGTCATTCACGCCCATTCTGTGGTTTAGCTTGGTCACATGCGTTTTCCCGCGCTTCAAGCATTTTGCTTGTCTTGCGTTCTCATTAGCTTCTTTTCATATTTCCTTTCCTCTGATTTGCTGGCTGATGTTTATTGTTTCAGATCTAGTCTTGCAACACAATCGTTATGCCCTCTATTGTTATGCTTCAGGATTCTGAGACGATTATCGATTGACTTTGACGCAGCCGGTTTGAGCTGTAATAAGAATTCTCTTGCCACATTCCTTGAAAGGAGTCAGCGGCTATATACAAGATTTTGACTTGTATTCATGATAGACGGACTAATTAATAATTTGAAAGCCATGAAACTCACTTACCATTTTCTTCTTGTTCTTCACTCTCAAACTTTAACGGTCCAAATGTCACCCGATACACCTCAGACTCGTCTACCACTGAGCGCTTTTTTCTCGAATTTGGACATTGAGAGTCAGTAGGGCACTCGCATTTGGAGTTTCCGGAATCCGCCAAGCAGACCCTGAGATCGCAGTGGATAAAAACCTCATCTCCTTTTTCAGCCTCAAAGTATCGGTAAGATTGAATTGTGAAGTTTTCTGCTTTGTCGTCGTCTTTACAAGAGTACGATAAAGTATCTGAAGCATCTTTGCTTGTAGCTGAGTTGCCGCAGCTGTTGATTAAGCATAAAGTGACTATCTAATAGCAAACTTCTTAAGATCGTGAGATCATACAAAAAATGATATTCAGCCTCAAAGCATTCATAATCCGTCGATTATCTTCGCTGGCGTGGTACTATTCTAAACAAGTAACAAGTAACAAGTAACGCAAACAAATATGCCTCAGTTAGCCTGCGCAGTTGATTATATTCAAATATTTATTTGCGAAATAAAAGCCTTAAATTGTTTCTTTTACTATTATTACCAATATTATAATGCCCAGATGATATCGTCCTGTTTTAAGCCCTGTGTCCAACGCAAGTAAAATCCTCACTTAGTCTTTTAAGATAGGAGAGAAATTTTGCAATATTTACAGAAGAAGAAACAAACGTTTTTGTTCATAAATTCGGGTGAAAGAACACTGAAAGGACGACATTCCACGTATTAAGCATTTTTGACGGTAAGCTGTTTGCAAACGTTTTTTTCGACGTTCTGAATGAATACGGTATCTAATCCGCTAGGCTTTAAATTTCTTGGACCTCCACTCTCAGAAAACTGCACTCTTTTTAGAACAGATATTGACCGCGAAAAAATTACCACGCATATTCAGAAGCTTTCTTGAGGTAATTATGGATTGTGCGTTGATGCTGCAGATGTGTACTCCCTTTAAAAAATACCTTAAGTAACAAACAGTTGCAGTAATTATTTGAACAATGCATCAAATGTTTCCGCCAACAAGCCGAGCGATTGGCTCAAACCTGTCACGTGACTTAAACTGGGAAATATCCTTGCTATAATTCCTCCAAGTTATATGCATCAGTTATCGCGCCAGACTTCCGATACGATTATGTATACAGTAGTTGATGAATATTTAGATCAAGAGTGAAATTCTTACCCTCCCACTATGAGTTCGAATTTTCCGTCCATAGACTGTGCATCGTTGCTCTTTGATGACCAACATTTTTCAAGAAACAGATCAAGATTGGGTGCCGCACTCTGAGTTTCGACCATAACCTCGAAGTACAAAGTTTGATCCAATGCAACTGGATTGGGTACATCAGTAGTATGAGCGGGATCATTGTAAACTTTGAGAGTAAACGTGAAATTTCCTCCGCCTATGGAAGAGAAAAAAACAATAACAAGCAGATTATCCTTGTGTTTGAAGTATGGCTTCTTTTCTGCCATTACTGAAATTGCAGCTCACATGAAAAGATAATTTCCTTACTTTGACTTCATCCGCAGCTGGTAAAATATAATTTATTCCATTAAAATTATGCCATGTTTACCAATAGAGATAAACTGTCATCCAGCGAAACTTTTAAAAAATAACCTACAATTTCCACTGATTTTGCTTCGTAACGCTTATAAATTGGTTTAATAGATCACCATCTCGGCATTTACTTTTCCCGAACTTCTGAAGAAGGCGTTTGTTGGAGGGTTTATTCGTAAATATAGGAGATGCTAGATGCACAGTTAAAGGTTAAGAACGTTTACAAGTCTCACAATCAGTACTATGAGAGCAACTTACTTGAGTCATTTGCTGCCCGGTTCTTAACTGGTACGAAGGATGCTGTTGATCTACCTTCATTGTCATAGTCACAGAACACTAAGTACAGGTGGTCATACACGCGCAGCTGCCCTGTATTTCCTGAGGCGGCCTGTTCAGCTTTGATTTCAATTTTGTATTTTATGCTACCGGAGAGCTGTTCTGCAGTCAAGGAGCAGTCTGGTAGCACAAGGTCTGAGAAGATGACATCACCGTCGATAAATGTTGGCTGACATTCAGCTTTTTGCTGTATTGCCCACTGATCTTCGGTCCAAGTGTTTAGACGTTCAACGTCGCTGATATTTATATTAACAGTGTGATTGGCATTGCAAATAACGCTCCCTATGGTATTTTGACCTGATATCAGAGGAAAACGAATTCAGATCATGGATGAGTGAGGAATTTATGAAAAGATAACTAAATCAATGCAATAAAAAGTAGATGTAATAAAGCGCATCGTTCATCCAAATAAAATGTCTGCTAAGTACAAGGCGTGTGAGTTATAGTTCAACAACAAACAAAATGAATAAATGAATCAAAATTTCTGAGTATTCGGCCATTTCTTTCAATCTTCACCTTTCTGTTGACCACCACATTTCATATTTAATGATTAGTGTGTGTGTAACCTCTTCAAACAGGATTTTTACTTTTCTGGTCTCGTGAAAGGCGGAGCTGCTTCACTATTGATGCATCTCGAAGAAAATGAGCATAAACAACGTTAAAGCTGTTAAATCCGATTTGCATCACTCATTCATTCTTAGGCAATCCTCGCTCATTTATAGTTCATTTTTCCGAATTCTATGTCTGCCTATTTTTCTCACTGACCTATATATTTTGTAGTTTCTCACACTTTGAATGTAAATACAAAGTTCGCTGAGAGAAGAGCTGAACAGAAAAAGGCAAAGCCTATTCAGATCTTGCACTCCCACATACCTGTCACGGACTGAAAAACAAGCATAAGTAATGCAAGCAAAACTCTTTCCCTCATGATCTACTAGACGCCGATTTCTGTAACGAGGAAACCAACACTCCGTTAACATTAATATCATTATTTAGCTTGAATTCTTACCATTTAAAAAAAAAATAGTAAACACAGAACGAAATATACTAAGAAGTCTAAAATCAAAAGGAAATCTTAAAATTCCAATAATAAAATCCAAGTTGTGTTTCCGAAATACAACTTGGGTTTTTGATAAACTCCTATAGATATAATGATAATTAGGATAATGAAACTCAGCTGTTCTAAGCAGTCATCAAACCACAGATGATGATTTTTTTTTTTCGTTTGTACTTGATGGTTTTATGGTTCAAAGCTGCAGGGCGTGTAGAAGAAAGGCACTTATTCATATGGTAACCAAAATAAAGAAACAAAGCCAAAACAGCTTCTTTCTAGATTAAGTGACCTACTGTGAATTAATCGATAACAATATCCACTACTCACCTTGCTTTTCATAAAAGTATTCCAAGATCTCGCGTTATTTCGTATATGATAACAAATATACTTTTCATTTTCATAGATGCTTCATTCTTAACTGGATCCACCCGGTAAAAGTAATCCGACGATTCTAGTAGCATGCACAATCTGTCTAACGAAGTGACACTGAGTTTTTGTTTTTTTTTTCAGGCCTTATTTCAACCACTAGTTCAGTAGTGTTCATAACTGCGAGGATCGCCTATATTCGTTTCTTCAACCGCAGTGCACATACATGATTTTCATATATATTTACAGTCATTTATTTAATCTGTGTTCAGCAATGACTGGTAAACTGTGTTTCAATCAATGAAATAACTGACGCTGTTCAGTGTTGTGAATCTTCTAACCACTTACCTTAGTGTCTCACTATCTCACTACTTTGTTGAATCTCTAGGCCCCTGTGACTCTACCAACGAAAGCAAGCGGCTTGTTTTCTGAAGACTGAAAACAAATTCACGGCAAACTGGAAAGTATGCCGTGCCTCACGTTTATCTGACTTCAGCAGGAGAATGACTTGGCTGACTTGTCAAACAGAATGCAGCAGAAAACATAAAACAAATCACAAAAGAACAAAAGAAATTTAAGCTAATTAGTCTCCTTGAAAGAATAGCGAACATCACAGAGAGTCAGTAACAATTGTTGCTCATCCATCCATGGATTCTAGAAAACGAACGCTTCAACAAAGAATTTAAAACTTTTAAATTGTCTTATTGTACACCCTCGCTTCATGTTGAGATTAGATTTAAAATGATAGAACACGAATTGACTTTTTACATCTAAACATGTTTAAACGTCGCTGAAACCCCATGTTAATACAGATCAAAGAAACTTGCCGGTGGCTGCAATTTATTCTCGATTAATTTCCTCATGATTAATTGATGGCATTTGTTTTCATGACAAGAGGGTGCAGAAATTTTTTTCCGCCCTTCAGGCAATTCCTTTGTTTATTTGGTAAATATGTGGGTGTTTATAGACAAGGTTTTTTTTAAGTGTCTGTGAATATATAAAAATCATAATTATGTGAACTGCGGATAACGGAGTGAACATGAAAGCGAACTTCGCAGTAATAAACACTACTTAAGCAGCAGGCCTGAATCTCTTTCAGGCCTTATTTCCTCTACTGCTTAGGTAGTGTTCATTACTGCGAAAATCGATTCACTTCTTTATCCACAGTTCACACATCACCGGTGTTCCAGCCCATGAACCTGTATGTATAAACTGCTTCCAGAACGTATGAACTTCCTGAGACAAGGTCTCGATGGAATAAGTTAGACATGAAAAGCATCACTAGTTGCAGGGTTGTAATGATAGCTTATTAGTTTCATAGATAAAGTATGTTATGAAAATAACTCCAGTAGAAACTGAACTCAGCCGCACACAACACACAAGGGTATACTGATCACCCCAATCAGTTCTGGCCGAGTGAACTTAGCTCCCATTTTAAAAATTTCTGGACGTCTTAGGTTTAAGAATATCTATCTTCGGACTTTACGTCAAGGGTCCCCTTCCTAGACTTAAAATTTGATGGCAAAGCCACTCGCCTGCCAGAGAAGTCTGGATTCTTACAGGTCCTGAAATGCCCCGAGACAGTTTGTCTAATAACATTCATTTATATGACCAGTTAGATAAAGGAATAGAGAAAGAAACCGTTCCTTTCGAAACTTAACTTGGTGCTGCGTCAGTGGGAGAGTATAACAGGGTTATTAAGTATTATCAACTGAGTTGATAACGTAAATTGGCCACCGCAAAGAGCGAATAATTCGCTCTGATGAAGGGCTAACGGTCAAAACGTTAGCTTCGAAACTCTTTACGGTGGCCAATTTACGTTATAAACTCAGGTGATAATAATAAATTACCCGCTTAGATAAGAGCCTTGTACCTCATAAATTTTAGGTCTACATTTTAATTTTAGCTTTCTTGAAGCATCCAGAACAAGCGAGACTGAAATAGAAAAAAATTCACAATGCCAAAAAGAAAAGAAGCAAAACAAAAACAAAAAAGAAAGACAAAAAGAAACCCAACTTATTTAAATAGTTTAAATAGTTTAAAGTGATGGAACACCTAGCTATGTAAGGTAACGCACCATATAGAGATTAGTTTCTTTCTCTTTGACGTCAGACATAAATCAAGATTTAGGCGGAACAAAGGAAATTTGAAGATACAAGGCTTTATCGAGTGATATGCGCATTTCTTCCCTTCTATAATAAATGTATACAAATTATTTCATCATATTGGTCTCTTTAATTGTTTTCATTTTGTCGCAAACCACCATTCGTTTCCACCAGGCCAGTTGCTTGCATGATGTCAGCTAATGACACTATCAGCTACACTGTTTTATATTTTCATGACGCGAAGTAAAGAAGGTGGGAAAAACAAATTGACGTAAAGTGTACTCCCTTATTATTAAATATTAACCATCACTTGCAATTCATTGCATCTTGTAAATAAGATACGCTTGATTAAGTTACAGCGGGACGTTTAGGCCAAATCATTATACGCAAAAGATAAAGAAACTTGTTTCTCACTTTTTCACGAATCAAGCGCGTATTTTCAGGGCCATAGCTAGCATGAGGCAAGAGGAGGCAATTGCTTCGTCTTGATTTTCGCCCAAGATTGACTTTTCTGAAGAAAAATGCCACGGGAAATGCTTAAAAGAGCATTTCTGAGCCTCTATATTTCAAAATATTGCAAAACAGACCCCCCCCCCAAGCCCCGAGCGGCTCGCACCTTCGGCGCTCGAAACTTGCCTCGTCTTGTTATGAAGTCTGGCTAAGGTCCTGATTTCATAACAAAGCTCTGTCAGTCAGAGGGCGCAGTTTTCACGCACATTTAATCACAAATTATGTCAACATTTCACAGAAAATTTCTCCTTGGGATCGGCTTTATCCTACCTCTCCCTGCCTACGTTTTGACAACCACCACACGGGAAAAATTTCTAGCATTGAGTTCAATCACAAGCGCGTTTCTCGGATTTCATATCCCTTAGGGCCATCGTCTTTCTTTTTCTTAAAGAAGAACAGAACCAGCGGCATCAGACCAGCTAATTGTGTCACAATACCAGCCATAAAAAATGCCCAGGTGTAGCAATCAGACATATCCACCAAGAGTCCTGGAGAAAGAAAAAAAAACGTTGATAAATAAATAGGGTTTGTGACCGTCAAAGGGACTAATTTTCCAAATCGTTACCTATCAATAAAGGATATTAGTCTCATTTCGCAAGAAACATGGATATTTTTAAGTTTAAAATACCGAGAAAGCGTCCGCAACTCCGATTGTTACAATGAGACAACTTTTAAAGTTGCTAAAAGTTGGAATTGCGTTTTTCATCCAACATGATACTAAGACTTGGATAATTTCAAATACATGCGCTCCCAAGCTTCTACATTCGTAATGGATGCTTACATGTTATACAAACTACAGCAAGGGAGACATTATACAGCTTGGATTTTAGTGTTAAAGTATATTCTTTCAATAATAATGGCTTCCAAACCTGCAACCGGAGGCCCGGCTACTATCCCCAATGACAATAACATATTACCCAGGCCCAATCCAGCTGCTCTGAGCTCCTCGTCCACACTAAACACAAGGAGGGAGTTCATCGTTGTGGTGAAGATGCCATCCCCAACGCCGTAAAAAACGGAAAAAACTTGAAGTCCCGTGTAGCCTCTTATTAATAGGAGGGAAATAATAACAAGTCCGATAAGCAGGTCTCCAAATTGGTAAATATAAATCACATTTATCCACTTTACGTCACACAGTCTCCCAGTTATAACGCGGGCAACGGAGGATGATAAACCAAGAAGAATAAAAAGCTGGGAGGCTGAATCAGCAGAAATGCCGAGATCGAGGCAATATTTTACCTGTGAACCAAGATCGAAAAGAAGTTAGTGACAAATTCTGGAAAACGTAAATTTTATTCTCGCATCTGACAGTATCAATCATATCAAATGTCCGGTATTGCTCTAAAGAAATATCCAGCAGACCTCGCGTTAGTCGCGTGTTTCTTTGTGTCCGATGTAGATGACATGTCGATTGCTAACTACTAGGGCACTTCACGTGCTAAGTGAATGAAAAAGAAGATGAGTTCTGAGCTGCCCAAATCTCTATAAATCGACCCTAAAACCACGTCAGTGACTAAGAAGGGCGTGGTTGGCAATCTTTTTATAGCCAAAGCCTGAAGGGTTTAAGTTTCCTGATGCAATCGTTTCCTAGCAGAAATCCCGACATTTCTGCAAATGCGTGATAAGAACATAGTTCAAACGCAGCCGGGTGACTAGTTTGGGCTACCTGTGGTAGGGATTACTGCAGACTACTTACTAGGTATAGCTGAGGTACATAATGTCCAAAATTCATCAACAGAAGACTTATCATCGCTACAGTGTAAGAAGGAACCTTGAACACAGACAAGTCCAACAGCTTTCGTAATTTTCCTGTCTTATTTGGATTCTTATTGTTCTTATCCTTTAGGTAGCTAGCTTTGACTACCACTGCTTGCAGAGATCTAGTTCTATTAAGCTTTTGCTCCACTCTATAGCAATCCTCGTTAATGTAATCTCTTTCTGTTTTTAAATTGACGTCCTCTCGATGTCTATCAATTACTGAAATTTCAGTATCTTTCTTTAATGTATCTATTTCCATCAGAGATATGGTAGACTCTTCGGCTCTCGAAAAATTGACAATAGGATCACTAAATGTAGCACCACAAATAAACGCCATCACAAAAAAGGGTATACTCATCATCATGTATGTTCCTCTCCAGCCTACATTGTCTATCAGGAGCTGTAGCACTGGGCCCAGAATTAGGACTCCAATGCTGCCCCCGACTGAAACGATCCCTACTGCGAGAAACCGCCATTTACAAAAGTTCTTTGCTGTTATGAGAAGGTAAGATGAAAACAGTAACGAAGAACCCAAACCATACAAACAGCCATATGTGGAAAACATCCACTGAAGACTGGTCGCATGTGCAGTTAGCAAAAAGCTTGTACCACACAGAAAACATCCAAGCATGGCAGGGAAGCGACATCCAATCATTTGACAGAGAAACGACGCCAGCGGACCGAGGAAAAAGGTCAATCCAAATGCAATAGATCCGACCCAAACTGGAATTGAATTTCGGTCAATTATGAATCAGTTAGGATAGATGAAAAAGAGGGCCGAAAGGTTACCACTTAAATTCACAGCTTTCCAGATTACAAATTGAGAACTCTGTTAAATTCACACCTAAGCTCTATGCTCGAAAGGAGAAAAAAGATAATGAACTAGACCAGATTGAATATTGAGAGAAAGAATTGCTTAATTCTGTTATTACAAGGATGAAATTCACATTACCAAGGATCATCCTAAGCAAACCTATCTAACTGCATGACGCATTTATATCATATTTTCGAGGAAATTTTTAGGATAACACATGCTAACTCACCAGTTTTTTGCCGGCTTTCCCCAAACTCGTCCATAACTTCAGGAAGCAACACTCCATAGCTAACTGCAAAACCAAGGTCCAGTCCTTGACACAAAGAGGCGCAAACGCAAACGAACCACGAAAACAAACTATCTGGCCGATGCTGCATAACTTTACCTATTTTCCTCACGTTCGTTTAGGTCGCGTTTCTTAAAACAAGATGTATAAGCATATATAACTTACAACCAATTTATAATGCTTTTTTGGTGGGCTGGTCGATTTGGCTCCTGCAGCTATTGAGTACCATTTCTTTCGACCCCAAAATACGTTTACTACTATGGGGGTCCAAGTCTCCTCCACGTTTTTTGTTATAATTGACCACTAAATCTCTCGAATGAACAGTTAAAAGCTTGCTCTGATATTCTTTTCAATGCGTTGAGTGGAAGGCCACATCAGTCACTGCAGCTAAGTTCTACGGCGCTGTCATGCCGAGCAATCTTCATGTTCCTGTGAATTCGGCAGTCGTTCATTCATAAAACACACGCCTTGAGCAGTTCGTTTTCTAAATTATCATGTGAAAAGATTTGCGTGTTTTTTCTGAGTCGGATTTCGCTAAACATTTTGCCTCCAGATTCTGTATTGGAGACTGAAAAAAATTCAGGCAAAAGGGTTAAATTCGACTCTGCTCTGTTCTGTTGCGACGATGAGCCGTGATACGATGGACCTTAGCATGATCGCAGTCGCTCTCATACCGTCATGATTAGTATGAATTTTAACAGCTATGCCAGTTTGGCTATGTCTTTCATTAATCTTAATTAGCAGGTAGTTTCAACCTGATGGAAATTATCCTCACAAATCAGCTCTTGTTGCAGGATCCTTTTTTGTACCTGTAAACGCCTAAAATTTCTTTCTAGAGTAATTTTAAACCCAAACATAAAGGTTTGTATTTCTCGAAATAGACCATACAAGCGCATTCATTCTTGATTAGATTTACTTAGCAACTCGACGAACAGTGCTCATGTTAGGATAAACATTACTCAACAACGCCGTGAGAACATAATCAATAAAACTTTCCCTCTGATATTCTTTTCCGCGAGGCGCGATGCGATGAAAAGACATCAGCATTCAAAAGAGGCGCTAGTCGTTAACTTATCTAACCTGACAGTGACGTCCAGAATATTCATACCCGCTGAGTGTCTAATTTCAAAGTATCGAAGAAATTCAGTGATTTCCCTTGCGAAAAAGGAGATCATCTAAGTTGAATAGGTCGTCGAAAGGCATACCTGACAATACTTGTGGTTGCTTTCAAGGCATTAGGATTTAAATGAGACCGGTAAGTGTTTTACATTTATATGTAGATGATGTTTGTATGACGCTTATTAAATATAAAGGTGATTGTGTGGGTGCTATCTTTAAAAGAAGGAACGGGGAATAGGGAATGGGGAATCTTTAAAAGTGGGAATCTTTAACGAATTCCCGCCTCAAGAGGGCAACTTTCACACAGACCGCTCATACATTTCATGCCACGCTTTAAAAGATTCTCCATTTTGAAGATTCCTCGTTTTAAAGATTCCTCGTTTTAAAGATTCCTCGTTTTAAAGATCAGGGCTCAAAATAATTTTTCAGCTTTCAGCGTGAATTTGTAGGCTTTTGTCCAGGCTCATTTTTTCCCCGGCTGTCTCTAATAAATTTCAGCATCAGAGTCTTTATTTTGATCAACATTTTTTGTTGCAGCAATCCTTTCCTAACAAAGCGTAGTGAAGGGCTCAATTTTCCGGTGTTTGTTCAAGCGTGAAATAAACAACTTTGCCAAGACAAACGGCTGCGCTACTGTCAAGCACCGACTTTAATTTGAACGCGTGAGAAGGCTTAATAAACGACGTTAGACTGGATTTGACAGGAAAATAAATCTTGTTGAAAGGTAGTGTGTACGCGCAGAAACATAAACACGGTAATGTGACGGTGTGTACAAAAACTTGCATGTTTCACGCTTGAACAAATACGTAGAAAGCTAATTAATGTAAACGAAAATACTCGTTGTTGCACGCTTCAAATTTCGAAACTTTATACTCGTTTACGTTTCCAAATAGCTTTTAAAGCATTTCTTGGCTGCTTTACTACCCGATATGGCATATTCACCATAACATGCATATGAAATCGACTTTTGCTTCAGTTGGACGATCACAAGCATAATATTTTCTACAAAATTCTAGTTCTTCGGTGAAAAATCGTTGGCAAGTGTGCTGAAAGTTCCGGCTGTTGTTTTGAACCTTGAAGATTCCCACTTTTAAAGATTCCCATTCCCCATTCCGTATTCTCCTATTCCCGTTCCTTATTTTAAAGATGGCTATCGTATGGGCGGCCGTCACCGCTAAAAATAAAGGTATAATAAATGGTTTGTAATAAACAGAAATGGTCTAATTGTCTTTTGGAGAACGGTTTATCTTATCTCAAGAGATTTATTTAAAATACAAATGGACAAATCGCCTTTGGTGGAATGAAATATTCAAACAAAAAGTGGTTTATACAATGCAGGAGTCACGCTAAACCATTTCACTTAACGGTGAGTAGATTGATGCGATACTACGCCATTGTGGCTTAACGGACTAACCATTTGCCGATAACTAAAGCCATTTCACACTACTCTGAACCGTTTGCGACAAGTCACTTAACCAAAGTACAGTTAGCTGAACCATTTGTCATTTCGACACTGAACCATTTCAGTTAACACTTAGCCAATCGTGTTTTTGTCGAATCAGTTCAACAAGGGTGGCTACACAGTTTCTGAATTGAATAAACCAATTTTCGTTTGAATATTTCATTTCACCAAAGGCGACTTGTCCATTTGTATTTTAAGTAAATCTCTTGAGACAAGATAAACCTTTCTTCAAAAGAGAATTACACTATTTCTGTTTCTTATAAACCATTTATTATGCCTTTATTTTAAGCGGTGATGGCCGCCCATACTTTACAACTTGTGAGAACCAAACTGATTTCTATCCCTCTCACGTACATATTCCAAAATGTTTTTTTTATATGACTGCCTTTCCAATATGTTAAGCCGGGAAGGCCAACATCAATCATTTTACGTAATATACCGTATTGATTCCATTATGCGCCCCGTGTGCTTATTGAATATTTGGACTATGAGAGTTGGCGCTTTTTCAGAGATGGGCTCTTATTAACTTTCCCAACCTACAGGCTGAGCGCTTCTTTTCTTTCCCTACCTACAGGCTGGGCGCTTATTAACTTTCCTACCTACAGGGTGGTCGCTTATTCGAGCCAGCAGGTATTGATCGAATTTCCTGTCCTGTTATGCCATTAGCAGGAAGGAAAAAGTACTCGAATTCAACATTGACGACGTAATGTTGGGTAATCAGGTCCAGAAGAGGCATACGCAAAGAAATATTCACGATCATCTTTTCGTAAATATATATATATATATCTACAGCTGTAAGGCAAGGTGGTCTTGGGGTACATTTTGGCGCTCTGATTGGTCCTTTCCTCCTCTCGAAGTGAGTATTTTGGCACACGACTGCTCCAAGGAAAATTCAAATTTTCTGTTAAAAATGCAATAAAGAAATCCTTGCTAAGAAACTTCCTAACTGAATTACATCTTCCTAGCATACGTAGGTTACTGCGAAGATCGCTTTCATATGCATTTCTTACACCGCAGTTCATATATATGATTTTCGTATATTCACAGTCTTACACGTAGGCTGACTAAAAAACTTTTAAGTTAAAACAATTATTTAACCTCCAGGCTCTTCATTTGAACTACTTTTGAGTGTGTTCTAATTATTTCCTATCATAAATCTGTAATGTACAAGAACGAACAAAGTATTACTGAACAATCCAATATTAAATACCTTCACTGCAGGGGAAATGAACAAAATAATTGAAAACGTTGGAAAACATTGAAAATAGAAGAAAAAGAAAACATACGATTTCATTCACAAATCAACTTGAACTTGCACAACTGAGGGAAATGATATGCTGGTCAGGAATCTGTCAACTATGCTGAACAATGAACTCGAGTAATATCTTAACATCACTAGAAGTGTCACCATCTTTCATCACGAAGAGGGAAATGACAGGATGGTTACTCACCAAACAATTTCATGTGAAATCTCAACAACGTCTTTATTTTTAAGTGCTATTGAAGTATGGAAAAGTGCATTCGAATGTAAATATCTCGAAGGAATTGACAACTTCTCTAAGTGTGCCTACATGGTTACCTGGGTAACTTTACATCTACATAAAACACTTGGAGTGTTAGAGATAACGCAAATTTTATCGAAAAAGATCTCCAAGGACGCCAATTACTGTTTACACAAACTTCTTCCTCCGCAGATAAAATGGATATGACAGGACCGAAGCCATGATAAAATTCCTCTTCGTGTTAATTATGACTGAACGTTTTGAGGTAGCTTTTGTAAAAAGTTGACTATTTGAATTTTTATTACTGGGATACCTGTGGTAGCCAAGCCATAAAATGCCTTTGTTTTTTTGTCGTCTTTTTTTTTTTTCCTCCGCCACAAAATGGAAAAATTGCGCAATAGTACCCAGTGGTCATTGGGCTCTTAACACCATGACAACTAACTGTGATCCAATGAAGTGTTCACATGCTGATCACGCGTGTTATCTTGATGATGATTGACGTTGTCATGACGAACCACGGGATTTTTGCGTATAAAACTCTTTTGTCAGTTGTTTTGCATTTCAACGTGTTTGGATTACGATCATCCGGAACATCACGGCGCAAACGCTCAAAATACTTACAGACGTATACACAAGTCGTATTGTTCGCGGCCAATCCACGCAAAAAGATGTTATTGAGCGGTAATTTGGAACGGATTGAGTCGCCAACGCTTGAAAGCCTTGAATGCCTTGTATGCCAAGTATGCCAATGTCTTAGTTGAAAAACGTACACTTGTTGTAAAAAGCAAAATCTGAAATCTGAAACCAAACTGCATATACTCTATGCAATCTGTTGAGCAACACTCCTACCGTGAGACTAAAGAACAAAACTCTAAGGGATGCAAACTGATCGTAAAGAAAGACGGCATGTTGGATTCACTTGATGCCAAGGAACGTAGCTACGATAACAGTGCGAATGGAATTAATTTCACGATCAGAAAGGTGAATCTTACGTTTGTTTTCGTTGTAGCTGTATGGATATTCTTTTTTAATA